ATCGAATGCGCAAGCAAATTCAACTTGAACGAGTATTAACTACTAAATAAGTCAAAAAGAAATGGCGAAGAATGACGCAAAAGCTTTGAAAATTTCTATTCTAAAGTAACATACAGCATAATACCTAAAGGTTGGTGGTTGAAAAATGTTGAGATGTCAAGTGTATTTAATTAATGTTACTATTTTTGAAATTCTAAATTCCATAACTATACACAAAAACGAAATAATAGAAAACACGAAGGACACTAGATGGTTGAATCTTTTTGTTTTTGTTTTAATTTATAAGACTTGCGCATTCTTCTGAAAAGATATGTAAATACATACATATGCGCTTACGTAGTTACATATATACATGCCCAGCATTATGGTAAATGTGAATGTTCCTGTAAGTGTGCGCCCACTGCAAAGGGTACAGCAATGTTTGCCTCAAACAAAAGCCGTTGTACCGAAGCAACAAGTGGAGCCACAAGTGGCCACAGCGTGCGCACTAAATATTGTAGGTACTCGTGAACAAATGAACCTATATCATACATTTTTACATTGCACAAATATGCGCATGAGTTTGTTTTTATGAAAACAAAGCAATACATACTTACAGGAAACGAAGCAATGTGGAAAACGATAGTATGAAATACTTTGGTGCGGTGCCAAGGACGATTTAAAGCAACATTTTAGAATGCGCACAAGACATACTATTGTAGGTGAGGTTAGTTCAAATGTTTGCACAGTGAACGCTTTAAAAGTTTTGAGTTTAGCACTAGTATTTTTAAGGCCACTTTTGAACTAGTCTGACCCTTAGTATTTTTGAAAATCAACATAGCGAATGTGATGGAATTAGGTGGGACGGAAATTCCTCCCAAATGTATGCTTTAATATGTATACTAAATTAAAGACAGGCGTTAGGCAGCGGTTTAAGGATACGATTAAGATTACCTTTACTACAGGAACAAAGGTAAATATGAATCTCCAGATGAAAAAGTGCATAAAAGGTAATATTCAATACGAGATAAAATTAAAGAAATGGTAAGAGAAAGATGAAGATGAAGGTGAAGATGAAGATGAAGTTGAAGATGAAGATGAAGATGAAGATGAAGATGAAGATGAAGATGAAGATGAAGATGAAGATGAAGATGAAGATGAAGATGAAGATGAAGATGAAGATGAAGATGAAGATGAAGAGGAAAATGAAGAAGAAGATAAAGATGAAGATGAAGACGAAGATGAAGATGAAGATGAAGATGAAGATGAAGATGAAGATGAAGATGAAGATGAAGATGAAGATGAAGATGAAGATGAAGATGAAGATGAAGATGAAAATGAAGATGTAGTTAAGTTCAAATACTTAATGTAAGGATAAAATTGAACGCAAATATGCATATACGTTTGCAGATGAAAAAAACAATAAAGATAAAAATAAACGTAAAGAGATATTACACGGGATAAAAAAAATGTTATACAACTGAAGATTTATGTAGATATCTTATATCAGTTAAGTGTCTCTTCATTTCATCTCAACTCAGCTCACCTCACCTCAGCTCACCTAAGCTCACCTAAGCTCACCTCAGCTCACCTCACCTCACTCCGCTAAATATTTATCATAGAATGGGTAAAAAGTATTTTCTTTATCTAATTTTATCCTTTCTGCCGTTGTGTTGCTTACTTCTTTTGTTTCGGTTTGTCGCTGTATCCTAGTCTCATGTATCCTTACGAGTGATTCGTAAGTCATCCTGCACTAGCCGCATTTCTTGCAGGGTAGGCTTGATTGAGTGTTTGCTTTTGTGTGGGTGTGTCCACTTTTAGCCCGACATGTGTTTACTTTTGACACATTGCTGTGTAGGGCGTCAATACTCGTACCTTTTGGGCACTGTCCTTTGTTTGTCGATTGGTAATTTCACATGAATACAATAATTGCTGCAGACATGTACATAAATTTTGTTGCATGCGGGTACTTAATTGAATGTTATACGAGTGCATAAGTATTAGTACAGGCACACATGTACATACATATGTATGTGTGTGCGGTAGGTGATTAAAAGAGACTGCAAACTTTAATGGTTTAAGGCGCTTTGGTGATTTAAAATTTACGAGATGAAAGTATCGCAATTAAAATAATAACAATTTTACTCCCCTTTGTTATGATTTAACTTAAAAATTTTGCGTATTTTTTTTGCCAACGATTTGCGTACATATGTAGAAATAATAGATAAGCGCTTGCACATATGTATGAAGGAGTTTGGCCGAGCTTCTTCTCCGATTTGGGGTGTGCGCCTTTATGTTGTCACACAAAAGGGAGGAACCTACGGTTTTACGCCGACTCAAAAAGGCGATTCTAGCTTTATGAGAAGCTATTTTGCATGTCAGAAATAAGCTCGGAGGTTTCCCATTGCCTGCTGAGGGGCGACCACTGTTAAGAAAAAACCTTTTTTTAAATTTGTTTTCTATGTTGCTTTGACCAGCGCTTGAACCCAGGCCTTGCGTAGTGGAAGCGCGCACTGCTTACCACCACATAACAGTGGCCGCCGAAAGCAATAAACATATTTCAAGTTAAATAAACTTACATATACCGTACACGAATATGTGTATATGTATGCATGTATGCGAATGTACCAACATTTGAAAAGTTTGCTTAAACGCATTTTTTTAATTGGCCCCTTTTTGTATTGTTCTTTTCGTTTGATTACGTTGGAGGTGTGAGAAATGTCTGGCGGCAGGCGGCAATTGGTTTTCAGCGCCTCAGCATAATATTAATAATTCAGTACTAATTTGCGCATCGCTAAGGAAAATTATTTTTTTTTGTGATAGAAGATTTTAAGAAATACTCGTACAGTGAAGTGACTGAGAGACCACACACACGTTTAATATAAACTAAAAAGTATTTAAAGTTTGAATTTTTTATTAACATTTGTTTTTTTTAGTATTTTTTTCTAAAACTTTAAGCGCACAGAATTTTACCACTTTTTTGAATATACATATAAGATCTTGTAAAAATAAGCCTCTATATATTGTTGCAATTTGGTGTGAGATCCGTTATTCGATTAAGTCTAATGTAGAAACCTCTCTGGGTAACTCAACAGCTGCCTCAAATTAAGTCTAATTCTTATCAAATTGTATTCAGTGGAAAATAGTAAATTTTATCCGTACAAACTGACAGTTAATTTTTAATTTTGCAAATACTTGCAAAGACTTCAGAAAAAAAATGCTGTCTTTGTCTAGTTTTTATCACACAAATTTAATCTGCCATATGCTTAATTTGAAAATATATCAGTTTAACTTTAATTACAGCCGCTAACCGAAAAAAAACGTATAATTTGTCCCGCAACAAAATGGAATGATCCTACTAAGCTTCAATATTGCGGTGAAAGTCTTCATCGATAGCAAGCCTCTGAGACTCTTAAACACCAGCAAAGTCAGGAAGAAAAAAACACAAACTCCTACTGTGCGTTCCATTTTGATGCCATCTCTGTGAATATGGTGCTAAATTTAAGCGGAGGTTCCAAATTCACCATCCCATTCGCCTATCGATGTGAGAACGAACGCGGGAGGCCTATGGAAATCTATTTCAAGTCGTGTACAATAGGTGCTACGTCTATCTAGAAACTAAACTACTTTCTATGACCCTGCATTCTTTCTCTCCATAAACCTTACTTAAATAGTTCAACACCAAACACTGAAGCTACCCTCCTCTATACGAATTTTGTTTATGCTGGGGTCATACTCTGCACAACACTTTTCCTCTTTCTCGTGTCAATGCATTTTTCGTTTCTGTTTCTCCAAAGGATCTGACGAAAAACGGACGAAGTGTAATGCCACATTGCAAAGCCAATGGGCCTTGCTTTCCTAGAGCTAGAACTGAGCTGATAGACCGCAAAGCTGAATCCGATCGGGTTGATCAAGTTTTGGTACCGCAGAGTGGTTGCGAGAATCAGCGTGTAATCTAAGAAATTATGCATAATTTGCTTCAAGCTCGGTATTGAATATTGGGTTTTAAAGAAGAAAAGTTTGGAATTGATCCAATAAATGTAAAACGCAATGAAGTTTGGGATTTTTTTTTACTCAAAAAGAGCATAGCGTGAAAAAACTTCAGTTATAAAAATATCAATATCCATAGTTTTTCTTATTATATCTAATAACCACCTGTTTTAAAAAAGCAACTGAATAATATATGCCGTTTTAGCGCGAGTCTGAGCTAAAAAAAAAAAATAGTTCTACTCTGTGGGGTCTGTCCGATTTTGATTTGGATTTTGTGAACACCAGCAGCTTTTATCGGCGCAGTTCGGCTTGACACGACTTTCGACTTTGCTAAAGGTTAACTCTGTGTCAAAAGAAGCTGAAAGACCAAACTGCCTAAACCGCTACTCTAACGACTTCATGAAACGCTGTCTCAGTGGCTCATCGTCATAGACATGGATGCTGTGCCTCAGGCATAACCAATTTTGTATCGACAAAATCGTCTTCAAAATACAAATAGAAAAGCCCCTTCTCATAGGATTATTTTTCATATACATATTTATTAAGGTTTTGTTAAGTTTTCTTTAAATAATGTTACTACAAATTTGATTGCTATGCCATAAATCAACACGCTACTGTAGCCGCAAAATATACGCAGCAAGTGGCAATGAAAATTGAACAGATCGCAGCGCGTACAGTCGCAAATCAGCGAATATCATAAAATTCGCACACTTTACGTCGATAAACACTACAAATTCTTAGAAAGATATTCACATTTCCAACATCTTCCAATGCTTAAATAAAGCATAAATAAAAAAAAAGTGTGTAAAATGCCAGCAGCATTGGCTTATGTGCCAGCGACCACAACAGCTGATAGCTTGGCATTTGGCGTTTTTTGATATTTGGGAAATTTTTGTACATGCAAGCGAGACTGCGCCTTTTTGAAATTCCTAACTGTCTTCAAGGCATTTGGAAAATAGCACCACTTCCTCATAATCAAGTGTGTGTGTGTGTGTGTGTGCATGGCGGCGTGTGTGTGTGTGTGTACCCACCTGCAATTTTGCGTTCGCGCATTTTACGCCACAGCGCCTCCGCCTTACGTTTTGGCCAGTTTTCGAATTTCTGTGAAAAGCTGCGAAAGAATTTATACTCGCGTATCGTTATCGACATGCGACGCTGCATTTTGATAGGTTGCGCGCCCGCCGCACAGCGTAACTGCGGCGGCGGCGTTGATGGCGGTGACGACGACAGTTGTGTGGCTATAACGGCACAGCTGAACGAAAAATACGCGTTGAAAAGAATTCCTTAACTTAATTGTTTTCGTAAAATTAGTTTACATATATTTGAAGTTGTCTTTCAGATAGTTTATGACGATTTTTTATTTATTTATTTTTTTGCTAAACTCAAGCACTAACACCGATGGTAATGCAAAGACTTTAACAAGCAGATTGCAAGCAAACTCATTTTAAATGTTTACGATCTTGTTTTGGCGCGCTTCTCAATATCTGCTGTTCTCGCTTTTTCTACTACGAAACTCAGGTGCAATTTTCACTTGGTCTGCCAAGCGGCAAACCAAACCAAACAAAATAAATATGTCTACGATTTTTTAAATTTTAAGGAAATCCTTTCATCCAAACTTTTACTGTTTACTGCCACGCTGCTTAGCAAGTCGCTTTGCATGCTAGCGCCTAGAAATTCGCGTTCAAATTTGGCTGCTTTCAATTATTTACCGCTACTACACTGCTGAATATTATTTACCACCGCCGCTTCGACGCGTCTATAATCAACGAAGCCTGTAATAGCACTAATGAAAATGCGAGGTATTTAGTGAAATGGCGTACGAATGTGGCGCAACAGCGCGCGCTGACATGCCACTAACATCACCAAACAAAAAGGAGGTAGCAGGCGCAGTCTGTGTGTGCCGAGGGGTTGGAGGCGCCAGGTGGTAGCATCAGCATCATGCTAATAGTCATAGTCAATTTGGGGGCTGGTGCGGCGGCGCTTTGGCTTTGAAATCGGTATTCGGATTCGCATTCGGTTAGTTAACCATATGACTAACGAGCTGTCAGACTGTATGTCTGGCTGGCAGGCTGGCCGGCTGGCTGGCTGGCAGGGTGTGTGCTTGGTGTCAGTGTTCTATCTGTTGGCCAGCACGAGCGGGCACAAAATTTTCGCGCCATGTATCATCGCAAACAGCTGGGTGGCGCAGAGACTACCTGCCTAACGGTTTATCTTGTCTGTGTAACAGCTAGCGTGAATGTAAACAATTCCGAATAGAGCGAGGTTGAACAGACAGCCGAGTGCTTCTACAATTTTGCCGAGCTGCCGCACAGCCGAGCCGAATTCATCATTGTTATAGTAAACATTGTTGCTACGATTGCTCATTGGCGCGCTCGGCTTTTGACAGGCATTAAAAGCATAAAAAAGTGTGCCAAAAAGCAACAAGAACAACAACGATGTTAATAACAACCACAGCAATACTAACACAACGCAGCCGACTAAACAAAAAGGAGAAAAAAATACATGACACTGCAACAGCGGAAGCGTAGAGAACGCACGGGAAAAAGCCTAAACGATGTGCGCGCAAAACCTTTTTTTTTAATTTTGTTAAAAAAAATCATATAGGCCGGTAGGTGCATGGGGTGGGTGGGCGGTCGTCGAAAGGACAATAATTGCCTCGCATGCGCTAATGACGTCATCACGATGAGGTTGCCATTCGAACACTTGCTTTAAAGTATATACATACATACATACATATGTACATATCTATGACACGCTCGTGTGAATTTGTGCAAGTTTATATTTTTTGTTTATTGTTTGCACGTCAATGCAATTTTAGAGCTAAGTTGCTGCTCTATGGCTTACGTTTTAATTTAAAAATTTTATGTATTCATGAACATAAATGTTTGCTGAAACCTGGTGGATAATCATATGCATCTACATATGTACATATCTTTCTTGGTATGCCAGGAATAACTTTCAGGTTGACCTATCATAAGATTAAGTAAATTGAGGTCACATGGCGTATGAGCAACGTAGGAGACGGATGAGTGAGTGAGTGAGTGTGTTCAGTGGATTTCGCAAAATAAGCAGATTATGACAATTCTCGCTGCAACATGCAGTGAAATAGCTTAAAATTTTTATGGATGCATGTAAATTCTCGGAAGATAAGTCGTAAAGAAATAGATATTTAAATGAATTAATGCTTGTGCGGTAAAAGGTTAGTATGCTATGGCGTATGAGCTACTTTATTGAAAATTAAATTCTTCTGTGGTAATCATAGTGAGCGGGTACCGAAGAAGGTAATATGATTAGCTGTAGCGAGATTTTTAACGACATGGACATCGTCTTCATGGCTTCAACATGGCATATGTATGGGCGATGATGCTCTATACAGTTTCGTTCTAGCCACAACAGCTTCGAGAGAATTATACCTACGAGTGCGAAGCAGTCAAATGCCGGCATACCGGACAAATTGTACAAGTGTTGACTATTCAGTTTTTTTTTAATCACAAGAATAAGGATAATATCCTTCCACACAATACATATTGACTCTCCTTGCTGTAAAGGAGAGTTGAAAGGCCAACGGAGTAATAAAGTGAGATAACATCAACCTGCTCACCATCCTAACTAGTATGTACATCCCACCCACTCCATCATCTAATGTGACAAACTTCTTATATGTTAAATGGGATTGTTTTGTTTTTACGTACATACACTATCGGCCAAAAGTCTTTGCCCGTTGAATTTTTCACATGTGCAACAATTTTTATTTTAATTTTTTTGCACTAGTTTTTTATAAAAATATTGTTAATACTACAACAACAAACATAAAAATTCAATTTCAAAACTTTGTGTAAAATTCAAATTCCATAAAATTGCCTGCAAATTTTCAACTTTCTAGTCAGACTTTTTTTAATTTGTTTAAGTTTAGTAGCCCATTAAATTGTGGTAGATATTTTAAAAATTCAAGTTCCAAGTTTACAAAAATTCGCGTTGATTTTTGAGATTGAAGGTGTTTAAAATTTTTTCCATACAAAGTATTTTCGAAAAAAAATTTGTTCGAGGAAGAAACTGCGTGAAAAAATTGCCAAAAATCAATGGCGAGTCCTAGCTACTTCAAACTTGCACTCTATTCCATTAAAATTTGTTGGGCTGCAAACTCAAAAAGATTCTAAAAAATCTGATCAAAAAGTTAAAATTTAGCATGAAAATTTATTGAATTTTCCTGAGTTTTGCATAAAGGTTAGGAATTGTGTTTTTATTTTTTTGTTGTTGTAGTAATATTTTTAATAAAAAACTAGTGAAAAAAATTACAATAAAAATGTTTGCATAAGTGGTGAAAATACTTTTTGTCGGCAGTATATTTACAGATGTATGTATGTATTTATGAAATATGCGTATGCAGCAAATATTTTAAGCGAATGCTGTTTATTGTTTTAAGTCTTGCTGATACTAACAATGTGAGTAAATTTTGAAAAATTCAACAAGCTGTAAAGAGCCAACAGGCTATTGGCCAGTTAATATTCGTAAGTATGTACATTAACCTGTACCAGAAAAAAAAGTTCGCGGTACACCCTCGAATCGAAAGTATGTATTTTTGCAGGGCAATTTCGGAAAAAAAAATTATTTTTTTGCCCGAACGGCGGGGTCGCATTTACTTTCGGATCTTAAATCATTCTTGTCTTGAGGATACACTTTTTCTTGTTGCAAATTTCATTGACCTTAAGTATCCCGTTCCAGTACTTACCCATGAGATCTCAGTTCTTATCACTCTAACGTACCACCCTACTTTCAGTAAATTAAAGCTCACCAAAAATGATAAAAGTTTTGCGAGGAAGGTATTTGCCCTAGCGAAAATACTTTAGACTGAGGGAAGTACGGCGATTTTTTTGTTTTGGTTTGCTGGTACGGCCTCATGTAAACACACAACATATTTATGTGGCTGTGTGCGACGAAGGACAATACATAGAATTTACGAGAATTTTCAGGCATCAAACTCGGATTGCCTTGTTGATACAGACATAAAATGACGAGAATTTTGCTAGGATAGTAGTGCGAGCGCCAGAATGTGCATAGATGTAGTAGGATAATATGGGAATGAAGGATTATTTGTAGATATGTATATATGTGCATATATGTATATTTATAATTAAGGCTTCAGTACAGCATCTGGCAGGGGAGAGATTAACGGCATTGGCGCAGACCACGAACGCTACGAGAGCATTAAGTCTTGATGGATTGACAGCCATTTAGGAATTGTGTCTATAATCTATTGAATCGAAGTGTTCGTGTTTGTTGACGGAAATACCAACAAGTAAGGCATACTTGTACGAACTTACTTAGGGTAGGAAAAGGGATATGTCAAGCTAATTGATAACCTAAATTGATTTGATGTTTAATGCAACATATTTAATTACTTTTAATTGTTTGCAATGCAGGACGACATCAGTAAATGTGCGAATTGTAATTGCTCGCTGGCTTATATGTATTCCAGCCTTAAATTCTTGCTTCAAAAATCGTTTTCATTTTCACAAATATAGCTGGAGCTGTTTATTGTGCTTTTGTGATTAAGAAAAAATTTTTATTTTAAATTTTTCCACATATTGGCCAGTGTGAATAAAAACTAAGCAAATGCTGTTTTGTTAAAACTGCAGACCTTTTCTTCGTTTTTTTTTCAAATAAAGTTAGGGTTGCCAGATTTTTTATGCGCGAAATCAGTATGTTAGACCTTTTCATGCTAAAAAAATCAGTACTTTTCAGTACATTTTTATTCAAAGCAAAATTATAAATGTAAGTAACAGATAATACTTTAAATCGCCAGAGAACCAGTTTTAAACAATATTTTGGTATACGAATAAAATACAGTTCATAAAAAAAAGTGTTATTCATTTTAACATAAGTATATGTAAACATCATTGTACACAGAAGTCAGTAAATTATTTTTTATTTATAAAATTTTTTTAAATATTAAAATTAAAAAAAAAATTGCTTAATTTTTATTCATGTATCTACATACACCATGCGACAATAACCCAAAAAATTCCTAAACACCCTAAAGCAATCAAAATGCATACATATTTACGAAACTAGCGGCTAAACGTAGCAAAACTGCGCTTTTAGTTTTTTTCTCGGACGCCAGGATATGTTGAAAGAAATGAAAGAAGCATCTCTGTAGAATCAAAAAAATAAATTTGTTTGATTTTCTTTAACGTAAAATTTTTGTTATTAATAAATATTGCAAATTTTTAAGGATAACATTTTAAAGGACATTTTCAATACCTATTCATCCTTATGCACCAAAAACTTTGAATTTGTTCAATTCTACGGAATTTTGACTTACATTTGGTAATGTTATTCTAAATTGGACGGAACTAAAAAAAAAGAATTAATCAAATCTTTGAAATTTCAAAGTCTTTTAAAAAGTCCTGACGTCAGCGGGTAAAACTAAAAGCATAGTTTTACCATATTTGACAAACAGCTTCGTGAATATATTCAATGTTTCGTATGTTTTGACTTTTTTTAAAACTTGTTGAAACGTAATATCTTTGAAATTTTGTAGTTCCTACAAAAAGAATTGACGTTTCGTGNCCAGAGAACCAGTTTTAAACAATATTTTGGTATACGAATAAAATACAGTTTATAAAAAAGTGTTATTCATTTTAACATGACTATATGTAAACATCATTGTACACAGAAGCCAGTAAATTATTTTTTATTTATAAATTTTTTTTAAATATTAAAATTAAAAAAAAAATTGCTTAATTTTTATTCATGTATCTACATACACCATGCGACAATAACCCAAAAAATTTCTGAACACCCTGAAACAATCAAAATGTATACATATTTACGAAACTAGGGGCTAAACGTAGCAAAACTGCGCTTCAAGTTTTTTCTCGGACGCCAGGATTTGTTGAAAGAACTTTGAAATTTCCAAGCCATGATTAATTAAAAAAAATAATAAGTTTTAAATTTAATCCAGTGGTGAATAACAATATTGGTACCAAATGAAAGAAGCATCTCTGTAGAATCAAAAAAATAAATTTGTTTGGTTCACAAGGACGATTAGGTGTTGAAAATACCATTTTGATTTTCTTTAATATAAAATTTTTGTTATTAATAAATATTGCAAATTTTTAAGGATATTCATGGAAAGCATTTTAAAAGGACATTCTCAGTACCTATTCATCCTTATGCACCAGAAACTTTGAATTTTTTCAATTCTACGGAATTTTGACTTAAATTTGGTAATGTTATTCTAAATTGGACGGAACTAAAAAAAAATGAATTAATTAAATCTTTGAAATTTCAAAGTCTTTTAAAAAATCCTGCCGTCAGAGGGTAAAACTAAAAGCGTAGTTTTACCATATTTGACAAACAGCTTCGTGACTATATTCAATGTCTCGTATGTTTTGATTTTTTTTAATTCTTTGAAACGTAATATCTTTGAAATTTTGTAGTTCCTACAAAAAAATTGACGTTTCGTAGGTATAATGATTTTTGTGGGTGCAAAATTAACTGTTGCACGGTGTTATTTGCCTTTTTTAAGCTGCCAGTACCAGCAGGAAAATCCCACACGCAGCGTTCACTGTACGCACATCAATGCCAGACCTCCATGCTCTTTAATAGTAAACGCATAATAGAGTTGTTGGCCATCGCAGCGTTGGAGATTTTATTTAACTAACCACTCCCTTAACCAATTAACTAAGTAATCTATTTTTTTCATTTTATTTTTTATTTTGTATATTATACGTTGTACTAACCTGCTAAGTAGCGATCACTTTGCGACCGTGAATATCGCAGCGTCTAAAAATAGAGATAAAGAAATAAGTCATTACTAACATATTAATGTACATACATGTCTGTGCATAAGTTAGAGAGTGATGAACTATTTTAATTAACTTCATATGTATTTCCAACTCACCAACTTCTGGCCGGAAAAGTCATCGCGTCGCGTCTTTTCCTGCTTCAGCAGCAATGGCGCCGAGTTTGACTTGGTTGTTAGCTCTTGTATGCCCAGACTTTCATGCCCGCTATGCAGCGATGCACTACTCGGCGAAGGCAGCTCTGCAAAGTGCGTCGGCGATAGCAAAGACTGGAACGGTTCCTGACGCAATGCCAACGACAGCTGTCCACGTTCCCTGCCACGTCCGTGCAAATGTTGATGCAATTTACGCGTCAGCGGATGATGCTGCTGTGGATGTTGATGTTGCAGTGGTGAGTATTGATAGTAGACGGCCGGCAGTGAGGTGGTGTCCAACGAGTGGCTACGACATTTCTGTGCACGTCCGCCGCCGCCACTACCGCCGATTGCGCTGCCATAAGGCATCATAATTGGCGCTGTGGCGACGATGGCATTGAATTTGCGACGCAGCACCACACTGTTGCTGCCACCAAGCGTATCGTTCGCTGATGTGGAGCCGCTGCGACTGCCACTACCGCCGCCACCGCCACCGCCACTACCGCTAGCACTGCTCGCATCGCCATCATTGCACTCACATTCGTAGTATGGTCCCACTTCGAACTCATCGTGGCCCTCATCATATTCGTCTGCCAAATCGGCCACATCCACAACGCCGTCATCGGCAGCCTCCGCCGTTTCGAGCGCATCATTGCTGTCAACGTTATCGCTGTCATCTTGTCGTGCACGTTGATTTTGACGATGACGTTGACGTGCGGCGCGCAACAAATGCTGTTGCAACTGTTGCTGGTTTTGTAGTTGTACCTTGTGTTTTAGCTTGTCGGCTGCTGTAGTAGCAACCGTTGGTGGTCTCTGTAGTTGGCGTTGCTCGTCAATGTCATCGTGTGACTCATCGCCGCCATTGATGCCAATGTCTTCATCGCCACCGCCATGGGGCTCATCGCACAAGCTGAGCACCTCTAAGAGGTCTGGGTCATCTGAGGAAGCTACTGAGCTACTCTTCTGGAATTTCATTTTGCGTAGGGCATCCAAGCTGCTGACTGATTCGTTGTCGTTGTGCGGATTTTTCCAGTATGAATTATCCTTTGGTGGCGTTGCCGTTCCAATGCCACTTTCGTTGTTGTCATTGTCCAGGCCGGAGGAGTCCAGCGAAATGCCCGACTTGCCTGAGCTAAGCGCGCCAGTGGCCTCCTCACATGCCGACGATGAAGTAGAGCTGAAATTTTAGAGAAATTAGTTTTTCCATAAATGAAGTGACGAAAGAAAAACTCAATACATATTGGATACGCCCACAAAGTTAAGGATTTGTATGTCTCTTGATTAATATTTGATCTAGTTTTAAAAGAGCCCCCTAAATTCTAAAACTTAAACTCATTTCTTTCTATTTACTTACTTATTGTCTTCATCGACGGCGCCAACACTCCGCAATATTGACTCCTCAGATGTCCAAATTGTTGAGGTGGATCCTTTTTTGGTCACATCGCTGCCGTTTAACAACAAAGACGCCGCTGTGCTGCCACCGACGCCGCCGCCGTTGCTCTTTGATGCTGATGAGGTCAGCAGTGTGGATGGCAGCAGCACCGTGTTGCCTAGTTTTGTAGCAGCTATGGCTGAAGACGGTGTTGTCATTGTCGCATGATTAATGCGCTCCCGTTTTGGTATTGCCAGCATTGCCGCCAAGCCACTGCTACTGGTAATGTGACCACCGTTGTTGCCGCCTTTATCGGCGTTTGCCAGCAGCTGCTGCTCCTGCTGGTAGACCTGACTCTGACTTTGGTTTTGGCTTTCTCTCTGTGCCCACTGTGTGGCAGCTGCTGCAGTGCCAGCGCGCATTGTTTCCATATCGTTTTCCAATTGACGTTGTCGCCTGTTTTTAAGTGATTCCTCATCGGTTTCTTGGGCGGCGACACAACCATTTAATGTTGTCATTGCCATCGTTGGTCGGCGGCAGTCACTTGTAGTCGCCGCCATAGCTCCCGTTGCTGCTGCTGGTGTTGTCTCTTCAATTTTCAATACTGTCGCCGCTGTTGGCGAGCTTGTTTTTGCCGCGGCTGTTAGCGCACTTGTTGTCAGCGCATCGTTGCCGCATTGTAAATTTGTCAGATTATGATAATGTTGATGTTGCTCGGTTGTGGCATTAAATGTTGCTAAACTGTTGCGATTGCCTTTGCCGCCACTGTGTGCCGCCTGCGATTTGCCGACAAGTTCGTGCAACAGCTGTTGTTGTTGCTGCTGGTGTTGTTGGTGGTATGGTGTCGGTGCCGATAAAGTGCGCATGTAGGCAACAGTTGGCTTGACAGCCGGGGTGCCATTGCCGTTGATGTTGCTGCTGTTGTTGTCGGCGCCTAAGCCACTATCGAGGCGTGCACAATCAAGGTTAAACGATTGCAATGGAATGGTTGCCTGTAAAAGGAAGAACGCATACAATAAAACGTACAGATGAAAAAAATATATAAAAAAAAAACAAAATTTAAACAGAAATTGCAAAATAAAAAAAGTCGCTTGCGGATCGCCTCGCCTCGAATGAAGACTTGAGGGCCAATCACTTTCAGTTAATAATGGATGGAAATCTTTAGCAATATCTAGTCGGACAATGCCTTATGACACCGATAATATATAGCAATTTATATTTATGTAGGTAAGTGTGTGCGCAGCTGCAGTGGCGCGACATGAGTGGCTGTGCATGACTGGCTAAGTTGTCTGCTGGTTCTAAAAGGACCTTGAATTTTTATAATAAATCGCAGTGCTGCGCCACCACTTTTGCCCTTTATTTTTTTGTTGGTGTTATTTTATTTACTTTTATTTATTTTTTGCTGCTGCCATTCTTTACTATCGAAATGCGATTGTTTTCGACGTATTTATGCAAATTGAAAGTCGTTTTCGAAAAATCTCACGTCTGCCCTTTTGTATTGTTGGCAAAAACAGTAAGCGAGCTCTGCGCCGTGAATGGGCTTTAAAGATCTTTAGGCGCATTTGACAATTGGTTGGCAGTTTTGTGAGTTGTCATGTGGGTTTTAAGCGCAAAAAGTGAGTGAATTTTAGTACTTCATGCTGTTACACTTCGCTGCAAGAGTCATCATCGAAGTTCAAGGCCAAAAGAATACATAAATCATTTAAATTTAATGTAAGTTGCAGTGGGTTAGCTTGGCGAAGGATAGATTCAGCAGAACGATTTCAGAGACTCTGCTGTGGAGCTATTACCTGCTGAAATATCTTGTTCTTTTAACTGTCTTCCAGAGAATAGTAACACACAGTGCCAATTTTGGAAATTTTTTGGAAAAAATATATTAAAAATCCGCTTTTCCCATGCGCCAACCTTGTACTTCAGCTCATCTGTGAACAAATTTACAAACTCACGGCTAATGGATATTCAGTGGTTAATTTGTGGCCAGTGCGGCTGGAGGAGAAGAACGATGAACCCTAAGAACACCCCGAAGAGGCTTATGAGCGCTACCCTGCCAAAGAAGACGCGTTTTGCACGAGCATTGGAAAGTTTGGCGCTTATATTAATTCGTACGCCATAAAAGAGGGAAAGGGAGACCTCGCGCCGGCATCAAAAATGCTGGCAGGTAGGCGGGAATGTGGCTTGAAAATTCCATTAAAAAATCAGCAACCAAACGGTTACAATACTGGATTTGGATATTGGTCAGTTGAGGAATGGGAGCCTCCACTCGAAAAAAACGAGGAGAGAATAGTACGGTTTAAAAAAACAACAACAAGATTCCAAAGCAGATGGTATATCGAGCCCTAACGGCCAAAATAACGTAAGCGACATTTGCTCTAGGAATATTTCTGCATCAAAAAGAAAATTTTGAAAAAAATGTCGCTTACGTTATTTTGGCGGTTAGGGATCGATATTTTGTCTAATTTACAAGTACGAAAATCGTGTTGTTTGCACTGATCACGGCAGGATAAGCCTTCTCTCAATGGTTAGTGCGACGTAAAAACAAAATTTCGATGAAAAAGAAAATAAGTCTCGAATGAGACCCCGCTCTTTTCATGACCACCACGGAAAAAGCATAAAGGACTCTAATTTGAGGGCAAGCACCAGGAAATGTCCTTAAAGAGGAAGGTGCATGTTCCCGACTGATTCATGTCCTTGGGGAAACAAAGTGTGACATCTCGCCAACCAAGAAACACAATGGACACGGCAAGAAAAAAATTAGTGTGCCTTTGCGACGTCTATTCCAGCTGTTACGTAAAGGAGCGAATATTCGGTGTTTGATTTGTGGTGGGAGAGAGACTTCGTCGACGAATACTGCCGTTCATCCCTGTGAGCGAGCGTATAGCTAAAATCCGCATCAAAGTGGGATTCTTCAGCAACTCGCTGATTTGCGCGCATGCTTCGACGGAAGGAAAGGACGAGGCTTCCAAGGTATTTTCCATGAGCGTTGCCCCGACACGGCATCAAAACTGTGGTTGGCGATTTCAATGCCAGGGTGTGCAAGGAAGGGATCTTTGGAGCCACTGTCGGAAATTTCAGCCTCCACTACGAAATATCGGATAACCGACTGAGGCAGTACTAGGTTTCAGATTAAAAAGGTCCACCAAGGAAATTAAAAATGTCCGGCTACAACTTATTTCCTCGAATGATGCTGTGCTGACTGTCTAGGAAGAAGTTAGATATTTAGGCGTTATTATCGACAGAAAACTAACTTGACAGTTCAATGTAAAATGCATTGCAAGAAGGCTGTGACTGCCGTGTGCGCATATACAACAACAATAGGGGAAAATGAGGCCTGAAGCCTGACATTGTGAACTGGGTATACACTGCGGTGGTGCGTCCCATTTTATTTTACGATATAACGGCCAAACGACCATCCGTTAATAAATCAACAATAAAAACAAACCAACAAACGATCAAAGGGGCATGCATAATGATCACGGTGGCGCTACGCTTAACGTCAACTAAAGCTCTAGATACCCTGCTATATTTTCTACCTGCAAACGATAAGCTACAGGCAAGCTTTAATGCTATCAAACTTAACGCGTTGATTAAGTGGAGTGATACAAGGTTCATACACTTTAGAATTCTGGAAGATCTCCAAGCAGACTACATGCGCCTGAACTTCACATTCACCCCACTAAGCCGAGGAATTATTAGCAAACAAGGATCACTTAAAGCTCTAGATACCCTGCTATATTTCCCACCTTCAAACAGTAAGCTACAGGCAAGCTTTAATGCTATCAAACTTAACGCGTTGACTAAGTGGATTTATACAAGGTTCATACACTTTAGAATTCTGGAAGATCTCCAAGCAGACTACATGCGCCTGAACTTCACATTCACCCCACTAAGCCGAGGAATTATTAGCAAACAAGGATCACTTCAAGGGGTGAATGGGAGAAGGATTCAGTCCTGACCTCCTACTATGATTCAGCAGCCATCTAATCCGATGGCTTCAAGTTAGATCTGGAGGCAGGTAGTGGGGTGTACTTGCAATAACTCTCCCTTCCCTCAGTTTCCGTCTGCCTGACCTCTGAAGCTGCACTTATATCAACTATTGAAGCTGCTAGATAGCTGATCGATTCGTTTATTAATTCCGCTATTCTCCTGAAAACTGAAAATTTAATAAGCTATAANAAGGATTCAGTCCTGACCTCCTACTATGATTCAGCAGCCATCTAATCCGATGGCTTCAAGTTAGATCTGGAGGCAGGTAGTGGGGTGTACTTGCAATAACTCTCCCTTCCCTCAGTTTCCGTCTGCCTGACCTCTGAAGCTGCACTTATATCAACTATTGAAGCTGCTAGATAGCTGATCGATTCGTTTATTACTTCCGCTATTCTCCTGAAAACTGAAAATTTAATAAGCTATAAAAGCTATCACTTCTACCATTTTTTTCAAGTTATTGTTGCTTTTCCACTAAGTTTTCATATAAAAAAACGGCGTCGATCTCAATAAAAATTGTTGAATATAAGCTATAAAACTTTATATCCGAAATTTTTCTAAAAATATTATTAACTTATTTAAAGCAGGCCGTTAAGATAGCGCACCCCATGGAAGAGATTTTTTTTTAAATTTTTATAAAAATTTAAAATCGGATTTACACGTTTTTTGTTGTAAAATATGCTAAATTTTTATGAAAAATGTATGAATATTAAACAAACGAGAGGAAAACTGTACATAAATACTGGGGATCAAAAGGGTGCGCTATTCGAATGACTAGAAGTGTACATTTTAAATGATTGCCTTAACCCACACAGGCTGTTCTGCTGAAGATCCATTTCTAAGTGCTATAAAAGTTAAGTTTGTATGGTGCTTGAAATTCTTACGTATCTCTTACTAAATGAATAAATCGAAGATTATAAAAAACCTAGCGAATATGTTTAGCTGAGCCTAGATAAATATCAAGCGATTTATCTTGTATAACTCGAACTGTTAATTTCGTTTAAAATTTATTTATTTCCATTTATTTATTTTTCTTTAATAAAAAAGTGTCGCAAAACTTACGTATGCAATTTATTCAGCGCTCGAGTAATGCGAACGCTGCTGCTTCTGTAATGACCTGCTGTAATTGCGAATTCCCGCTGGAACGTTCACCCAGCAGCACATTCGCGGTGCATTTCATTGCATATGCCGGGACAGAGGACAACAGTAACTACTACAAATGTACGAACATACATACGTATATGTATACAATGCGATGCAGCGTTGCTGAACAGTCCAGTCCACTTCAGTGCCAACAAGTTGAGTTCACTGCGGTCCATCATTGCTGCAACACCATATTTGGGCAACAGTGCAACTGACAAGATGCGCAATTGTCATTGTGCCGTGTAGACATGATAAAAATCAAAAGTGTCTGCAACACAATGAAATGCGTACATGTGTGAGCACAAAAAAAAAATGAAAGAAACCGTACCGAAGACACAACAACACTTGCATATGTCAGCCAAATTGGCAATGCGCCGCCGCTGATATAATTTTTTGTTTTACCGATTCCACGTTATCTCGCTATCGCTATTACGGACATGATCGCCGTCGTCGCCAACAGATGCCACTAAGCCCACAGCAATTCATTCAACATAAAGCGGCAAGTGTGTGGCTGGCCTAATGTGACCAACTATTTCATAGCTCAAGGAAGTAGCTGTTAGGTTGGGTTAGGTCAACGCCGCGAGCAGATCACGACAGGTCAATGACAGGTCATCAGCAGCGCAGTTTCGCGTGAGTCTCTGTGACCCGGAATCTAAAACTAGAATTAACTAAGAAGTACTCGCACATCATCACACGCTTTAGCAATAAGTCTACCGCTTCTTTGATGGCTGCTATTACCACCTAAAAGACACTGCCGAATTCTGGAAGCCTGCAAATAATTTTACTGGAGAGTTTCCGACAAAATACCCATCCACCAACACTGTCTCCAATTTTTGATCCATCCGTTCTTCGGGCAACCCCGCCCTATCTAGTCTTCACTTGAGGGAATATAGGTAGGGAAGGAGCTTCTGGGAGCCATTTTGGAGGAGTTTGTAATCTACGTGTTCAGCGCGAAGTCAAAGCCCTCTAGAACTTCAGAGTGTTACTAGCCGGTTTGCCTTAGCCTAATAGAAGTTTGTAATGCTACAATTCTGTCTTCGATATCCGCAGACGACGTGTTCAACGTTACGTTAAGCGCCAGTGTAGGTGTGGTTCCTAATGATCCATAGAGAGTTACCTTTCTTGCAATAAGCATGTTGATCAGTCTCTCTAGCGTTTTTAGTAAAAACGAAGACGGATTGATAGGCCCAAAAATGTCTAGCGGGAACATGACAAGCTTTTTCCGGCCTTCGGGATGAACGCAACACTGACTACCCTCCAAGCATTGGGAATATACCCGGTCTTCACGCAGTTCGCATAAATGGAGAACCCTTTGCAGCTACGCAAGTATGATGCATTCGGTCCCCGGCGAATTTAATGGTTTGAACGAACTTATCGCCCAAGCCATGTGGCGATCGTCCAGAAGATCGGAAAAGTACAGGGAATGAAGTACAAAATATCGAAAAGAAGTGAATTTGACTGTATTTCCAAGTACGAAAAAGAAGTACTGTACTTCTAAAAGAAGTACGGTTGGTCACATTAAACCCACCCCACAATTGTGTGTGTGTGTGTGTGTGTGTGTCACATGTTGCTTTGGCATGTAACACGCGGCAAGCGCTGCACGCAGCTGTCAGTTGCATTTGTAAAATTTCGCAATGTTGCAAAAGTAAAACACGCTGCTTGCTATCTCAGGGCACTTGCGATTGCTCTTGCTAAATATTTGCTAGCTATTGAATTTTACCAATAAATCATTGAAATCAATTTCCGTTGTTGGTTTTTTATTTGGTTATCCCTTGCCGGCAGTTGAAGCTTAAATCGAATTCGATGCATTGCCTGGTTTTGTTTTTTTTTTGTTGCACATTTCTTATGCAGAGAATATTGTCAATTGCTTGCAATGTAAATGCAATTGACATAACGAACTTACAATGGCTAAAAGAGGAGCGCAATATCTACATATGTATGTATGTATATAGGTTTGTGCTGCATACGCACTACATTGTTGCCAGAAGTCGCCAGCAACATTACTGCTATGGCCCTAAGGTCGCAAGGAACACCAACACACACACCTTACATTGCAGGCTTTTGCATGTTGCTGCTGCTGCTGCTGTGACGTATGTATGTTTGTGTGCATGTATGCTGCTGGGCCTTATTGCATCCTTTGTTGTAACTCATTGTGTCCTTCACATTGGCTTCGCCTTGATCGCTCTGCTGCAAGCCAAGCTGTTTCAATTCACTTCATTTATTCCATTTATTTATTTTTCCTGTTTTGTTAAGCTTNGTATGTTTGTGTGCATGTATGCTGCTGGGCCTTATTGCATCCTTTGTTGTGTGACTCATTGTGTCCTTCACATTGGCTTCGCCTTGATCGCTCTGCTTCCAAGCCAAGCTGTTTCAATTCACTTCATTTATTCCATTTATTTATTTTTCCTGTTTTGTTAAGCTCGCCAGATAACATCTTCGCTGCCGCCGCATCTAAAGTAGTTGATACATGAATCTCATCACGTAGCAGCCAACAACATATGCGTGAATTTTTCATTACAATCCCTTCAAGCAGTTGCACTCTGTTGCACGCGGCGGTTAAGCTGCTATGCTGGTACTATGTACCTGCATATATGTAAGTAATGCTTTACTATGCGAATAAATCAGTAACAATGCTTGCAAGCTATTATTTATATCCATATGTACATTAGACCGTGTCAGAAAAATAAGTTCGCAGAATTTGCAATGGAATTTCGAATAAATTTTTTTTTGGTCGCACGTGGGATTTGCCTTTTCAAATATTTCGTTGTTTCTCCAGCATTTAAAGTGGGTTCTTAAAGTATGTTATATCGGAGAGTCAATTGATTTTGATCCAAAGTTCATTCGCCTTCTAGTATTTATCCATCAGATCACAGTTCTTATCACTTTAAGGTACCACCCCAATGTTAATAAATTAAAGGCCACCGAAAATCAATGAACTTTTGGTAGGGAGTATTTCGACCAAAAAAATTTTTCCTCGAAATTCCCTGGCAAATAAACTTTTTTTTTGTTTATAAGGTGGCACGATCTAATGTACATATACGTACATGTATACAGGTATGTAAATAGTATGTGCAAATGGTTTGCTGTCTGTTTGCTTTACTTTCGTCCCATTGTTGGTTGTATTTTGTATTGTACTTTTCATTAGGCGAAAATTGTCGGCCACACTCTTCTCAGGCTGTCAATGCTTAATTGCAACAAATGTCGCCGAGGAGTCGTGGCCGTGAATGTTGCCACGAATTTTTTATACAACTACAAATTTAATGAGCTAACATATTTTTGTGGTAGAAACCAATTTAAATTCGAATTATTTAAATGAAAAGTAGAGCTGATCAAAGGCCAAGGTTTACTAATTAAAAAAAGTGTTAAAAATAAGAATTAAAATTGAGAAGTACAACAAAGGCAACAAAATGTTTAACTTTGAATGCAGTATTTGCATTTATACATACAAATTCTTTAACTTTACCCCTTGGCTGTACGAGAATGAGTCTTGAAATTTATTTCAAGTTTGTTGACCGTAGTTAACCAGCATATTCTCTGGAGGACACAATCAGTGTTACCAGGCGAGTTTACCATCGAATTTTACGCTCTAGCCCTCTTACCTCTAGGTTTAGCTTAATGGTCTTATTCTGGCCTTTCTTTAGTTAAAATGTTGATAATGAAGTTCAGTGTAGAACTTATAAAATTAGTAATGGTCATACTAAAATTTCTTGATATTTCAAATACTACCGTTTAACGAGACGAAAACGCCAACTTTCTTACGCATTTTCAAAAAATCTGGTGAGAAAATTTTTGTAATTGGCCCTTTTTAGATACATATTTATCGACGAATGAAAATGCATAGCCACATACTTAAATACTCTCGCCTATAAACAACAACTTAACTATTAATTGCTTTTACTATGACAATAAAAAACAACTTAAGGCTATAAAATAAATAATTAAATGCAATTATTATTAAAGTTCCAATACAAGTTAAATTGAATTATGCGACAGTGAAAGGTAAAAAAAAAATAATTAACAACCATCGATAAAAAGACTTTAAAAAATAAAAACGCATCTTCTATATGTGGTTAGGTTAGGTTTATGTGGCAGTGAGTTGAAATGGTCAACTCACTTGAAACACGAAAACCTGTGTGGCAGCATCTGGAAAAAAATGTGGTAGATCACAGGTTTTGCATCAAACTTTGTGCAAAAATTAAAAAAATTCTGCAAGGTTTCACCTAAATTGCAAACTTCTTAATTATACTCTAAAAAAATAATTTTAGTATAACAAAGTGCAAGATTGAAGTTGCAAAAATTGCGTTGAGTTTTGCCAATTTTTTTCCTTGCAGAGTGCTGCCAGCTTTCCTTTATATATCACATTACGATGTAGCGAACATATGTGGCACGTTACAGAAACCGCTTCTTGGGATTTGCCGATTTTGACAATTCTCAAGTAAATGTAAACAACGCCTCAGAAACTTTAGAACACANAAGATTGAAGTTGCAAAAATTGCGTTGAGTTTTGCCAATTTTTTTCCTTGACAGTGTAAAGCAGTTCCTGCCATATCAAGATATTTCTGGAACATACATTTTTTTGCAACCTTGCAGAGTGCTGCCAGCTTTCCTTTATATATCACATTACGATGTAGCGAACAAATGTGGCACGTTACAGAAACCGCTTCTTGGGATTTGCCGATTTTGACAATTCTCAAGTAAATGTAAACAACGCCTCAGAAACTTTAGAACACAGAAATTTGCTAATACTCGCCGTTTTTTAACATTTTCGCTAGTAATTATTTTTATAAATCATATATTTTACAATTTAATATAATGAAACCACATTTCCTCTTGAAAAATTTATTATTGAGAAACTTTAATATTTTGCAGTTTATTTTATCCTCCCATTCGGCTTTGTTTACTTTTACTTGAGAAATTTCATCACCGCCGTGAATGCGGAATCTTGTATTATATCATTCTTGGAACCATATAGTGTTTAGTGTTGAACAATTTTTGCTCTTAAAATTAAGAAAATTATGTCGAGCAAAAATAAAACTAGGTACTCAAAAAAGCGAATATGTGGTAGGTTTCAGACCTTGTGTGGTGAGAGGCTCAACAGTTCTTTCGTTGTTTTTTGCTTTTCAATTTGCTACCATAGTAGCATAGTTGTTATATAAATGCCCTCATCTCGCCATGACCTATTGACATTTTTAATAATTTTATTAACTTGAAGGTTGCCATGGGTATCACAATTTTGCCTCTGTTTACATACAGTGGAAGATTGGTAACTTTCCTGGCTAGCTCATCGACCCTGAAATGTCCTTCAATTGAAGACGGTGCGAATATTGTTTAAAGCTGTCTGGTATTCCTGTGCAACCTTTGATCTTAGGATAGCCGTATTCATTAACTTGGTGGCCGCCTGGTTATCCGAGCAGATATTTATCGTAGCCTTTGTTACATGTGTACCAAGGCACACAGCCACCTCTCTTATTGCTCGAACTTCTGTCTGATAAACGCTGAGGTTGTCCGGTATTCGGACGGATTATTTTAATCCTAGTTGCTTAGAGAAAGCTCCATAGGCGACCCGATTATCTAGCTTGGATCCATGCGTGCAGAAACTCCTCAGTTCCATCTCCCCGATGGTCCTGGTGTTTTCCACTCTCTTCTTGACAGAATTTTCGTCCTTTTGAGTTGCTGGCCGCCGTACAAATATTTCATATAATAGTATGGGGCAAGCCAATGTCCAATACGAGGTGTTAACCCCCATTTGATTCCGACCGCTTCTTTGCATTGTATAATCCTTTTTCACTATTTTCTCAATTTCAGGTTCCCACGTAACCTTCTAATCTAATTATATCTATCCTAACTCTTTTTAATAGGCTTCTCCATAGGCTTGAAAATTGGCAGAGAGGCTGTAGGTAGCCTATGTTTCCTTGGAAAGAGAGTTACTTCGATTTTGTCGGGGTTTATTCCGAGTACCCTACTCCATTTCCATTTCCTAAGCGTGGCCATGGTAGAAAGTATGTAGAATATCTATGAGAGCAATTGCCCCCATCTCTAGCGCTAGTAGCAGGGACTTCATTGCCAAAATCCCGATCTGAAATCTGAGGGGTACCTCTGCTGACCTGTGCCTAACCTAGCGGTCACGGTGAGTAT